GAGAGAGAGAAAGAAAGAAAGAAAGAAAGAAAGAAAGAAAGAAAGAAAGAAAGAAAGAAAGAAAGAAAGAAAGAAAGAAAAAAGAAAATCAAAGTAGAAAACATCATCGAATGATGACATTCCAAAGTTGCCAGGGAGCACATAAAGATGTAAATTATCTCCTGCTTGCAGTCTCATTAATGTCTTAGGACTAAAGAAGGAAGGATCTAATCTCAGACTTAAGACATTCCTTCAAATGGAATAAATTTAGTATCATGGAATTTTTAGCATATGTCCTTGTTTTTCTTATCTCAACCCGGCTGACACTGTCGTAAAACTGACAGGTGGCATGGGATGTACAGAGGGCAGGGTGGCTGGACGGTGCCTCGCAAGTGTCCTTCACCTCTTTCTCCGTCGTCATTTGCATAGACCTTTCTATGTGCATTGTGACTCAGCCTGTACTCAAGCCCTATAGATCACCTTTAAATTGCAGTTCACTTATCATTCATCATTGACTCCCTCCGCATCCATTCTTGGCCTTCCTTATTTTTTTTTTCCTCATAAGAACTAATGCTCCTCTCCCATACAACTGGAGTGAGCTGGGCAAGAGACAGCACTAGCCAGAATCATCTTTAGTATGTTTACAGCTATCCCCTTCTAACTTGAACGAAATTTCTTTTGTGTGTGTGTGTGTGTGTGTGTGTGTGTGTGTGTGTGTGTGTTTAAGTACTTGGAGTTAAATCTAGTTCTCTTTACATCCTAGACAAGAGACTCAGCCTCTCTCCCCTCTTCAGAATGTGTTTAGTGTAATAAATATGTTAGAAAGGGGATGGGGAGAGAGGAGATGGGTGGGTGGAAAGATGGTCTGGCTTCATGCAGGATTTCTCCAAGTAGAGTCCGGAAGCCCTGGTAAGATGCTACAAGGGTAAAGTAGGAGAACTGTGGATAAGTCAGAATGCTTGGATGATTAGGTGGAAGCCTAGAACGTATAAAGACAAAACAGATCCCAGGCAATGACAGCTTGTGGCAGTTTGTTTTGAAAGGCAAAGGAAGTAAAAATGTACATATAGAAACGGAGGTAGAAGGGAGAATCCTGGCTCTGGTCTTGGCTGTGCTGTCTTGGGCAGTCTTTTTCCCTTCCCTGGGCGTTTGGAAAACGAGGGGACTGGATTAGGAGAGCTTTAATGCGTTTACATTAGCTTGGCAATTCTGATGCCCACATACTTTAGGTAAAGCGCTGACAAGGACTGAAAAGGTAATACCTTTGCCCCACCTAGCAAAATTATGAATCACAATATGTTCTAGCACATATAACAATCCTTGAGAATTGCAGGTCATCAGGAGAGAGTTTCTTCACCCATATACAATACAGTGGCCTTGTACATTGGCACAGACTGTGAACTACACACACACACAGCAAAATCATAAATGGACATTGCATTTCATTTTGCTTTTCGGTTCAGAGAAAACAGAGTCAGTATTAATACTAGGTCTCCAATTAAAATCAAAGTGAGTTTGCTAAGGCTATGAAATTACAGGCCTTGGAAATAGATCCCATTTGTTGCCTCTTCCCCAGGGTTTTCTCTACTTACTCTGAGATAACTGAAATCTTGACACTTGGACTTCTAATTTTGACTTTAGATCAAGTTCCAGCAGAAAGGACAGAGACAGTTGGTCCTTTCTCAGTCTTTCCATTAATGAGGACTCCTTTTATTGTTATTTTTCTTCTTTTTGAACTTCATTCTTTCTTTTTAAGGATTTTATTTTTATTTTATTTTATTTATTTATTTTTGTTTTGTTTTTCGAGACAGGGTTTCTCTGTGTAGCTTTGAGCCTTTCCTGGGACTCACTTGGTAGCCCAGGCTGGCCTCGAACTCACAGAGATCCTCCTGCCTCTGCCTCCCGAGTGCTGGGATTAAAGGCATGCGCCACCACCGCCCGGCTTTTATTTTTATTTTAATTGTGGTGTGTGTGTGTGTGTGTGTGTGTGTGTGTGTGTGTGTGTGTGTGTGAGTGTAATGCCCATGGAGGCCAGAAGAGGGCATCAGATCCCCTGTAGCTGGTTGCGAGCCACCTGACCATGGGTCTTGGGAACTGAACTTAGGTCCTCTGCAAGAACAGTTTGTGCCTTTAACTGACCAGCCCCTCTTTTTTCCCCCTCCTTTTCTTCCTCCCTAGTGCTAAGGATCAAACCTAGGACAAGTGCTCTACCACTAACCTTTATCCTTTACTCCACCATATTTTTGCCAGAAGTAATCTATCAATCAGATTCTACTTATTGTAGTAATCTATCCTCCTAATTTTAGAAACACTTATCAATAATATTTGCTTGTTAGGCTGAATTTGCATTAGGATAATCCAATTACCCAGTCAATATCATTCCACCGAAAAGCAAAGAAAATGGTACTTTATTTAAACTCTGCAGTCTTTTAGAGGTTAACAATATAAGCCAGGGTAGCAAATGCCTGTATTCCAGCCCTTGAGAGGTGAAGGCAGGACTATTAGGAGTTCAAGGTCAACTTCAGCTACATAGTAAGTTTGAGGGTAGCCTGGGCTAGATGAGATCCTGTGTCAAATAACAACTACCAAAACCCAAAAAGAATAGTGCTGGGGGGTGGGGGTGGGAAGCAATATGACAAAAATATACTGTATGAAATTCTCAAAGAATAAAAAATAAATAAAAATAAAAGGAGCAGCAAAAACACCCAATATAATCATTAGTGTTTGGCTGAATATTTAAGATGGCTTCCCCTCCCGGCCATCTCTACCCCTTCATTCACTCCTGTTATGGAGTGATAAGGATTGTTGGCATCCTCAGAGAGGTCACCTGTCTGCTAGAAGCTCATTTTGACCACTGGCGACAGAGTCAAGTCTTTAGAAGAAGTGAGAAATGTGTACTCACATGCCTAAGTCTCCTAAGTGGATATTTTTGTTGTTGCTTTGCTCTCTGATGTCTAGGAGTAGATGAGTCCTCTCGTGCTAACGAAAGCCATTTCTGGACACATAGGTCCTAACCTGGTGTTCACTTGAACTTTCACCGACTCAGTGGGGTTTCTGTGGCAAAGCTCTCACACCAAACTCAGGAATGCTCATTAAAATGTATCCAAGGATAGACAGTTACACTATAATGTGCTGGGGACTTGATCCCAATTATTTTTTAATCTTGTAGCAAACCCTGTGAAACAGTCATGACTGCCCCGATGTTAAGAAGCCTTGAATCAATCTCAGCACAAAAAAAGATGAGGACACTTGGGCCCAGAACACTTGCTAACTAAAGAGGGTGACTAAACTGGGATTCACGCCCAGGCTGATCTAACGCTTGGGCACTGGAGTGGGGGACGGTATCACAGAAGGAAAAGAAAGTTACACAATAGAAGGAAACCACACCTCCCATTATACCAAGAATGGTGTCGGTATTCATCCTATTTTGAATGACTTACAGAGAATTTATAAGCAAAGGTAATTTGCAATAATCTTGGTTATGATGCCTTTGGAAAATGTCACCATAGTCTTTGAGAGAGTCTGCCATATCAGAACTGTTGGGGGAGAATTGCTGCCTTAGCTATTTTGTGCCCTCCCGGTGACAATTATAAAGTGTCTCTCGAACCTGTGCAGAGGTGGACGTTGGAATCTCCACTTGACAGGTGTAGAAATGGAGGACAGAATGACTTGCTCAGTCACACAAGTAGCACGGGGCTGAGCTGGGAGTCTAAACCAGGGCGGCTTGCTCCGTGGTGCAAGGATGAGGATAAAGGCGGGCGAGTCATCCAGAGCCTCTTGCCTCTTTGAGGGGCTGAGGATTGTGACCAAGACATACTTTCTGAGTATGTACTCATCATGTTTCCTGTCTGTTTGACATCAGTACATCTATATGACTTCTAGTCATCGAGTAGCATCACTTTTGAACAAAGAAAAGCAGAACAGGCTTTTTAGGTTTTTCCATTCCCAGATGTGGCAGCTGTGGACAGATGTCAGGGCCTTAATAACCCTGTGGACTAGAGCTTCCTGTTCATGTGTAAATGAGACTTCTGTGTTAAGCCGCCAGATTGGAAAGGTGTTTGTTGTTGTTACTTCTGACTAATACAGATATTTTCATCATAATAAGAACTCAAGAGAGTTAGTGTAGCTCCGTGGCAGAGCACTTCCTAGTATGTGTGAGGACCTGGGTTCAATCTCCAGCAATGAAGCAAATCAAAACAGTTTATAAAATGGAAAAAAAAAAGTTTAATAAAATAATGTTTAATGTCAAGGCAAGTTTCTTTTTAATTTTTAAAATTTTATTTATTTATTTATTTATTTATTTATTTATTTATTTATTTATTTATTTATTGTGTTGGGAGGTAGCTTGCTTGCTTACTTCAGAGGACATCTTGCAGGAATCATCTCTCCTTTTTTACCATGCTGGTCCCAGGGATCAAACTGAGGTCATTAGGCTTGGTGGCAAGTGTCCTTAACCTCTGGGCCATCTTGCCAACCCAAGGACAGTTTTCTTAATAATCCTATCCCTCCTACCCCCTATGGACTCTGAGTCATAGAAAATGCTGACTGACCTGCCAGAAAACCATGCTTATCTCTTTGAATAGGTTTATATCTGTTGGGAACACATCTTTGAGGAGACAGGGGAGCAATGATGTGAGCCAAAATAAAATCAAGCCACTTGTCTCATTTTATGAAAAACAAATATCCAAATTCTACTTAACTTCATGCCAGGGACTGAAGAGAACGCACACTCCCCATTAACCACAGATGTCTCAGCACTTAGGGAATCTTTTGGGGAGAATTTATCTTGGCAACATCAAGCATGTACATGTGGGCACATAGCAAAGGACTTGTATCATGGGTTGTTGCCTTCCATAGCGCTGTAAAGCATGTAGTTCTCAGAGCATTTCCTACCTGTATGTATACGGCTCGGGTTGGGGGTGGAGTCGGGGCCGGGGG